CTCAGTACCCCTTGATGGTCACCACCCCCTCCTTTCAATTTATTACCTATGCCTCCCTAAGTACGGAGCCCCGAAGACTTCCGGACAGCTCCGACGTCCGCTAGCGCACTCCCACCTCCGCTGGGCAATACACTCACCTGCCCTGCAGAGCCCACCTTCAGGCCTATCCCTCCTTTCCATTTCTGGGTTATCGCCTGCCTTTCCGTTAACCCTGTAACCTGACTCACCGGTAATATTCAGTCGGCTAATGTTTAACCCCGTTAGCTCCACTCGGCTCGGCTCCACCATTTGCGGACCCGTCTTCGCTGTAACTATATATATATCCAACTTGTACATAGGTTACACTTCAGTAATAAAATGATAAAATGGACTAGAGTTTACCCCCCTTCAGTTCTGGTTGCCAGTTAGTAAGTTAGGGCACGGACATGTTGCTTGGCACAGCGCTCCTGGCATAAATCACTGAGGCCGAAGCCCTCCGCCATGGAGACTTTCCCTCGTCTCAACCTGGTCTCTGACAGTACTCTTTGACAAATGCTGAATTCAAGACCCTGGTGATCCAGAGAAGTCCAAATCCTAGTGCTTCCATAGCACATGGTTCTCCAACACAACCCACTTGTATGCACCACTTATGCTACAACTCTGTCAAAAACCCGGATTGTAGGGGTAAATGCGTGAGTCCGAATGCAGGTGGGGCTCAACTAGAGGGGGATCCGAGAGCTCCAGTAGTGAACTGAAGCTTCTCCAGGAAGCCCAGTTCTGCTGGATGGTACAAGAGGCTCTAAGAAGGATGCGGCCTCAGCGACTCGGAGGGAGCACTGTGCCTCCGTTACGTCTCAGTTAGTCCTTGTATTTCTTATGTCTGAGGTATCTTGTAGAACAGGAATGGGATTCACTCAGAGGGACTTTGGGTAGCATTTTAGTCGAGATTAGAACTGAGGAACTACAGGTTCTAATCTACGGGTATTTATAAGGGGGAATGGAAAGGACTTAGTCAAAGTCCAAATGATAATAGGAAAACACCGAAAGGTGCTGAATGATACCGAGGGGTACCGAAAGGTTCCAAACGATATCTTTAACGGGGAACCGAGGTGTCGGGTCGAGGAGGGCAGAGTAAGAGGCTGGAAAATGAATGGGAACGAGAAATGGGTAAGGGGGGTTAGCCAACTGAATGGTAAGATGAAGATAGTCTTGCTAAGAATGGAAGGTGACTAATAAGTGATGACGTGAGTGAGGTCACCGAAGGATGCAGGTAGCTCCGAAAGCAGAGTTGCATATCCAAAGGATGTTGGGTGACTCCAATAAATGAAATGGGTGGAGAAATGGTTTAAGGGTGTCATGGGATGTCAGAGGTCCATCGGGATATTGGAGCAAATCTGGAGTCTCCGAATGTTCCGACTCGGGACCGAGCTTCCGGGATGGGAGTGGCCAAGGTTCGGTGTGCCACAACCAGACCGGAGCTGAGTGTCAGGGCACACCCGCCTGACCCGGCTCCACCCGGCCCAACCTGACCCGGTACCCCGCCAGTCCACCCTTCCTTACCCCCTCCCCCTTTCCCTTCTTCCCCCTCATCCTCCCCTCCTCAGTTTCTCCTTATCTTACTTCTCCTTTATTCTCTCTTTATTCTACATGGACAACTTTCTCTGTATCAATGTACAACTGACCCATCTGCTGTACCCGGCCTGGGCACCTCGGGCGACTTCCCGCTGTGCCCAGCACGCGCGCCTGCACCGGATACCCTCGGGATCTCCCATGGAGACACCCGGGTGGTTACGGCTGTGTGCGAGGGTGACGTGGCATCCGTCATGTGATCCAAGCCGCATGTATATAAACGAACCTGAAGTGGGAACCGAAGAAGTAGCCTTCTTCTCAACTTTCCACTTCAGGTAAGTAGTACAATATTTCTCCTTTAATAATAATAACAACTTTCCACTTCAGTCTAAGTGGCCAGGGACCACTGTCCCACATCGGGCCTGTCAGTACGCACGCCCGATCCGCCCCCCGCCAGGCTCTCGGTCCCGGACGCTATACCCGGACCCCCTCGACCCCAGACGAGTCCCTGACACTGAGACAGTCAGGAGGGAAGGTGACTTGGGGAGTGGGGAGGCATGGTGTAGGGGATGGTGAAGTTGTTAGGAAGGTGTGGTGTGGTGGGAGTTCGTGGGGTCGGGATTCTGGGATATGACAAACTCCATGTAGTGATTGAAGTAATAAATAAAGCATTAAAATTTACACACCACCTGGTATCAACTTCATAGCCTCATCTCACATTCAGCAATTGCTGAGGAGTACTGCCACCCCATGCAGATGATCGGGTTTAAGGTCTATTTCTGTACACAACTTGTGATCAAAACAATTCAGTGGTATTCCATTGCCGATGCTGCCTGGTTTTGGCCCACAGAGTCTGGCAAGCATGCTAAGTGTGCAACATGTGCAAAGTGTGTGAAGTGTGAAGTGTGCATGCAGTGTGGGAAAATGAAATGTATAGACCTCATGTGACCCTTGTCAACTATGTGAAGTGTACATCATGTGAAGTGCTGTCAGGGATCACTCGTCAGTCCGAGTCGAATATGGCCCGAAAACCTAGTTGTAGACAAAGCTGAGGTTCCAACACTCAGCGGCACATAGAGCTATATACATGAGTGACATCAATCAATCGGGAGAGATAGGATCAAAGGAACTAAACAGTGATCCGATAGAAAACGAAGTGAATAGAATGGAGGAACACTCAGATCAAAGGGGCAGAGTCGGATCAGGAGAAGGTGAGGGATTTATGATATATGAGGGCCGATGCAGCTACATGTGGTGATATAGTCTTATGCAATATCGATAGGGTAACAGAGAACTGCTTACACTATGTCCCCTGACATTACCCCCCTTTTTAGGATTATTGCCCTGATAATCTGCTAGGCTTTCACATAGGTCTGGGTGGGCCACCGCCCCACTGGGCAGTCTGGCACGGGATGCGGGTCCGGTCAAGCTCCATCAGGGTCAGACCACTAGATGAGGAAGGCCCAGGCTGCAACGTAGCTGGGCGTGGAGTGGGTGGTGGTACGGCGGCAGAGGGTGGAGGTGCCATAGATGGGGTAGGGCAGTGGAAAGGGGTAGAGCTCCCTCTGCTCCGAGAGGAACCAGCAGTGGCCTGCAACAGCGGTGGTTGTGGCATTGGAGGGGGAGCAGCGGAAGGAGGGATAGGGGTAGTGGGCTCGGCCTGGGGCCTGTGTTGACAGCAGGGTTGTCGAATGCGTTTCTTGGCAATATGACGGCCGAGGGTGATCAGAGCATCATCACCAACAATTTTCTGATCTCCATGAATAGTGACAGCACGTGACTCACCAGGACCATGGTGTGGCAAGACTGTGATCTTCATGTGGGAGAAGTCTTGGATCTGCTTCAATCCAGTACCCGCCCTTCCAATGACATGGCCAGCAATGGCCTCCGGTATGCCGATGGTCATGGTGACATGGGAAGGAGGTGTAGGGGGGGTGGTACAAAAGTTAGCGTGGGCAGGGCGCTTAGCTCCTTGCGCCTGAGTAGGATGCGCCTTAGCCTTTTTAGGGGCAGCGTGAGATAGGGGTGGAGGAGGTTGCTCCGTGCGGCTCATGCAGGTGGCTAGGGCGTGGATGATGTCAGGGTCATCCATAAGCTGAGCGACTATGCCATTGATCTGCTCCTTAGAGAGTTGTGAGGTAGACATGGTAGGGAGGGTGATCATCTAGTAGGTAGAGTGGTGTCGAGGGCTAGGATGGTGTGGTCGACGTTGGGCAGCTTTGTCTATCTGTCAGGGATCGCTCATCAGTCCGAGTTGAATATCGCCTGAAAACCCAGTCGTAGACAAAGCTGAGGTTCCAACCCTCAGTGGCACATAGAGCTATATACACGAGTGACATCAATCAATCGGGAGAGATAGGATCAAAGGAACTAAACAGTGATCCGATAGAAAATGAAGTGAATAGAATGGAGGAACACTCGGATCAAAGGGGCAGAGTCGGATCAGGAGAAGGTGAGGGATTTTGTCAGGGTTCAGCACCCTGCCTTAGGGTGCCCCGGACTCCCCACCTACTTTACCCCCTTTTATTCTTTGACTGTTGCCTTGTTGTTGCCTTTGTGTGTTGTGTACATGCGCGCACGGGATAGCGTGGGAACTTTCTGAGCGAGCAGCTCACCCAGAATGTTCCCACGGGTCACAGCCACAGTTCTGGGCGAGCAACTCGCCCAGAACGTTCCCACGCTTACTGGGCACTGCCACCTGGATGTTCCCTCTGGGTCACACTACACAAATCTAGGAGCTGTATAGTTGTGGGCATGTGACCCATTCCTTTATATAGCAACCATGTGGGGAGATGAGACCTTTACCCTTCTTCTCATCTCATGCCCCACATAGGCAAGTGTATACTATCTTTCCTTTTACTATACATCTCATGCCCCGCATAGTGTGAGGACAGGCCAGATGGGGGTTGAGGTCAGGGAGCCTCCGAGTCCGAGGCCGGGCCCTGACAGATTTACGATATATGAGGGCCGATGCAGCTACATGCGGTGATATAGTCTTACATGATATCGATAGGTAACAGAGAACCGCTTACGCTATGTCCCCTGACAAGTGCGAAAAAACTCATTTCATGTGTCAGGAATATTTATCGGTGGCTTATTCCATTGTGGGCTCATGCACTACGTACCCTCCCCATCATTTCTGTTATGTAGCACTCAGTAGGGAGAAGGAAACATGTAATTAAGGACCTGAAGGGAATTGGGGAAATATAGAATGCCCAGGAATAATGGAAACCAAGGTGTTGAGATGCATTGCCGAGGTCGGTGGTGGATCTGCATCACGAAAATCGGACTGGCGCTCCCACATGGTCCAGATGCTCCCAGGTGCTCTGGAGCCTCCGGAGTGCTCTGGACCAGGGGACCTTGCTCTAGTTGCCTGTCCGATTTTCGTGATGTGTTTCATTACCCCGCAGCCTCATTATCACGTAGCAGAGTGGCTATCCCATTTGGGTACACTGAGTACAGGAGGGGATCATCAGTTCAGTATGTGCCATATACCGCTGCTCGGTTAAGGTCCTGCACCATCTTCACTTGATGCTGCTGCAACTGCATTCAGCACCGCCTAACTACACTCTTGCTGGAGGGATCTATAACTATGATTTTGGTGACCCCATTCTGCTATGAACATCGTGCCTGAAATTGTAGAGCAGTGAATGGTGCATCAGGACTGTGCATCGAAACCTAAATATCAGGAGGGCTCTTGCACCAGTACAAACTCGAATGCCTCCACGACCTCACTGATGCTAGTCCTTTCCTCCGGAGTGAAGGCAAAGCACTTGCCTATGACACCCACAAGCGAGTCAGGATGGCTCCGTTCATAAGGCGGTTGAAAGCGTGCCACAGTGGACATGAGCTCCTGGTCGCCAATCGCCGAATACGGTTCCCTGCTGAAAAGAATCTATGCGGAACATCAGCAAGCTAAGCAAAGGCATGAAAAGGAATGTACCTCAGCAGAAACACACCCAAAAGCCCAGATGTCGCTCTTCTGGTTGGGAATTTGCTGCTTGTTAACCAGTAGCTCGGGAGACCGAAAACGAAGGTTGGATTGTTGCGCAGTATCTGCAAGGGAATGCCACCACTGTTGACATGGTACGAAAACTCAAAGCCACTGAGATAGGCTCGACCTCGATTCCCGATCCATATGTTTTCCTAATAAGGTTTGGGAAATCGACATGTAATGATATCCAGCCAACGACCGCATACCGGTTTGATGTCCCCATGGACAATCTCTTCCGAGTGAAGATAACTGAGTCCCAGTGCAATGTCGAGTACCTTGGTAAAGCACTGAGTGATGGAGATGTGGGAACAAAGTCTCAGCTAACCAGATCATGTTTATTTGCGTGGGGGTAGTTTCGCAAGTATGTCCTGATATTGCCCCCACCACACCAAGTCGAGATAAAATTCACCCTCCATGTATCCTCCTTGTTAATCATCGCCCATCCATGGAAGCTCACCAAATTGGGATGTAATAAGCCGCTCCAGAGTCGAATTTGTCGTTTCAGACTCTGGAAACGCAGAATGTTGATGCTCGCTACCTGGGATGATGCAGTGACTTGCCTTGATCGAATCAGCATCCGAGACTCTGATCTCTTTAATACCAACATATTTCTACTCGACGAGAACAAAGGTATTGAGCTCGGAACCCAGTGCATGACGATAATGGACGTACCCCATCATAGCTGCCTTTATATATGGCACCAGAATCTGTTTGAAAATCAAGCGTATCCTCAAACTTGATTTTCTCTGTGAGATCGCGCTCATCCTGCTGTAATAGTTCATGTCGTAAGTCAGAATAGGGGGATTTAGCGTCTTCAGCCGCCCTAGTAAAATCTAAGCTTCCGCAGAGTTGGGTTCAACAAGACATACTGGAGCTTGAGCATTATCCGTTCGGCAGAGTCCCACCCATCGGGATCACGCTTAAGACAGTCATGCAACACCCACTCAAACTTGCCTGGGTCCCTCCATGCATAAGGGGAACCGTGCTCTGGAGCCAATAAGGGGATATACCAGTCATTGAGAATAGTGCTGTAAGGACGCTCTCCACGAAGTATCTGGAAAATGATGAGATGCAGACGCTGGAATGTAAATGACAGACACCTCTAATGATGTACATCCGAACGACCAGATATCGCTTTTCTGGTCCCATAGGACCGCGTCTGGACGTAACACCTCCGGGGCTGAGTACCGTATGGGGCGCATTCCTTCCATTCCCGAATTGGTTTGAGCATTAGTGAGAATATACGAATACTCGAATCCGCTAATCTGGGCAAAAGGATCTCCATTGCTCTCGTTGACGTAAATCTTGCTCTATCAATTTTCAGCTGATTGTCGAACGATCACGGCAGAAAACATGAACAAACTGGATTCAGGTTTCCATGAACAATCTTTCTCGAATGAATAAACTCGAGACCCCTAGAAATATCCAAAACCTGCAGGAGGATTCTGTGTCGCGTTCTTTTCCAAACTTTTCATACAAAACGTACCAGATTGTGCCGATTTGCATTGCCCTGCACGTGGAGGTACGGAAGTATGTTCCCGCCAGAGCAGCCAGTGAAAGCTATGCTGGCGCGAAGCAGAGACCCACCCACTAGGTCAGATATCCACCCTCGAAATCTGACAACATTTGGGTGTGATAGCTCACGCAAGATCGCCAACTGGTGTCGCACATGCTATAATTCATCCGCCATAAGTAGCTAACACAGATCAGAACACATCCATGTACACTAGCCTTCACAAAGCTGTCCAGCATGGCCCGGTCCAAGAGGTCGATTTCATGCAACGTCTCAATCCGGACTCTGCCCTATTATTGGATCAGCGAAAAATCCTGCTAGTGAGTTCACATCCAGGGCCGAGAAAGGATACACTCACGCCCTGGTACATGCCTTCCCCTGTTGATTCCACCTCATTAACACTCCAATCGAAAGAGATCTGTCCATCAAGGTTATGTGAGTCTAGGAATAAATCCATCGAGCTGTCAGTGGGTGGTGGTGGTAGGAACTCCGTTTTAAGGTCAGACAGCTCGGGGATCGAAGGCAGGCCTAGCTGGTGCTGCATTTTGACACATTCTTTGATGAATGGGAGCGCCTCCGAGTGCTGTCCCAAATTGGAAAGAGCATTACGTAGATCGTTGAGTGACATGGCCAAACCCGGGGCGTATGATCCTGGGTTAACGGCAACTAGCTGGCGACGGAGGTTGACGCTTTCTTCAATGAATGGGAGTGCCTCCGAGTGCCGTCCGAGATAGGAAAGAGCATTATAAAGATTGTTGAGTGACCTGGCCAAATCCGGGGTGTATGATCCTGGGTTAATGGCAACTAGCTGGCGATAGAGTTTGACGCTTTCTTCAATGAATGGGAGTGCCTCTGAGTGCCGTCCGAGATCGGAAAGAGCATTACATAGATTGTTGAGTGAGCTGGCCAAATCCGGGGTGTGTGATCCTGGGTTAACGGCAACTAGCTGGCGACGGAGTTTGACGCTTTCTTCGATGAATGGGAGTGCCTCCGAGTGCCGTCCGAGATAGGAATGAGCATTACGTAGATTGTTGAGTGAGTTGGCCAAATCTGGGGTGTATGCTCCTGGGTTAACAACAACTAGCTGGCGATAGAGTTTGACGCTTTCTTCGATGAATGGGAGTGCCTCCGAGTGCCATCCGAGATCGGAAAGAGCATTATATAGATTGTTGAGTGAGCTGGCCAAATCCGGGGTGTATGAGCCCGGGTTAACGGCAACTAGCTGGCGACGGAGTTTGATGCTTTCTTTGATGAATCCGAGTGCCTCCGAGTGCCGTCCGAGATAGGAATGAGCATTGTAAAGATTGTTGAGTGACCTGGCCAAATCCGGGGTGTATGATCCTGGGTTAATGGCAACTAGCTGGCGACGGAGGTTGACGCTTTCTTCAATGAATGGGAGTGCCTCTGAGTGCCGTCCGAGATAGGAAAGAGCATTATGTAGATTGTTGAGTGACATGGCCAAATCCGGGGTGTATGATCCTGGGTTAATGGCAACTAACTGGCGATAGAGTTTGACGCTTTCTTCAATGAATGGGAGTGCCTCCGAGTGCCGTCCAAGATAGGAAAGAGCATTATGTAGATTGTTGAGTGACATGGCCAAATCCGGGGTGTATGATCCTGGGTAAACAGCAACTAGCTGGCGACGGAGTTTGACGCTTTCTTCAATGAATGGGAGTGCCTCCGAGTGCCGTCCAAGATAGGAAAGAGCATTATGTAGATTGTTGAGTGACATGGCCAAATCCGGGGTGTATGATCCTGGGTTAATGGCAACTAACTGGCGATAGAGTTTGACGCTTTCTTCAATGAATGGGAGTGCCTCCGAGTGCCGTCCAAGATAGGAAAGAGCATTATGTAGATTGTTGAGTGACATGGCCAAATCCGGGGTGTATGATCCTGGGTAAACAGCAACTAGCTGGCGACGGAGTTTGACGCTTTCTTCGATGAATGGGAGTGCCTCCGAGTGCCGTCCGAGATCGGAAAGAGCATTATATAGATTGTTGAGTGAGTTGGCCAAATCCGGGGTGTATGATCCTGGGTTAACGGCAACTAGCTGGCGACGGAGTTTGATGCTTTCTTTGATGAATCCGAGTGCCTCCGAGTGCCGTCCGAGATAGGAATGAGCATTGTACAGATTGTTGAGTGACCTGGCCAAATCCGGGGTGTATGATCCTGGGTTAATGGCAACTAGCTGGCGACGGAGGTTGACGCTTTCTTCAATGAATGGGAGTGCCTCTGAGTGCCGTCCGAGATAGGAAAGAGCATTATGTAGATTGTTGAGTGACATGGCCAAATCCGGGGTGTATGATCCTGGGTTAATGGCAACTAAATGGCGGTAGAGTATGATGCTTTCTTCAATGAATGGGAGCGCCTCCGAGTGTCGTCCAAGATCCGAAAGAGCATTATATAGATTGTTGAGTGACCTGGCCAAATCCAGGGTGTATGATCCTGGGTTAATGGCAACTAGCTGGCGGTAGAGTATGACGCTTTCTTCAATGAATGGGAGCGCCTCCGAGTGTCGTCCAAGATCCGAAAGAGCATTATATAGATTGTTGAGTGATGTGGCCAAATCCAGGGTGTAGGAACTTGAGTCCACAGAAAAAAGGTAACGGCAGAGTACAACAGAATCATTTGCTGCCTCATATGCCTCCTGGAATCTGGAAAAAAATCCCAAATTGAGGTGAAGCCGGGCAAGCACATTAGCCAGTGTGCTGACAGCGTCTTCCGACTTGTGGACAACAGCCAACTGAATAAGATCATGAGCTAGTTTCATCAACATAATTTGTCGATAACCCATACCTTAGCCCACTCAGGGAGTAACGAGATCCTGACGTAGCTTTCCATTCTCACACAGACTTCCACCCACCGAGTTGCTTGCTGACCCAGAAACATACTAACCAGCCCAGCAAGCTCCTCAGAGGGTTCCTCGACTCCACTGAGGTGATGGACAATGTGTCGACATGCATAACGAAAGTGCTCAGATAGCTCCTTTTGAGGAATATGCGGCATTTCATCTTTTTCGTACAAGTTTTCAATCAGGCCTAAGCCCTCTACAGAGCAGAGACCCTCATTCAAAATCTCAGTGCATCGCAGGGCAACCCTGGCATTATCTGCCCCAACAGCTATGGGAGCGCAACGAGAGCTGACTGATTGGGGATCAATCCGATCGACAATAAAATCGCGGAAAGATTGGTGTAAGATGCGAACCGGAATCAGGGAATCCTCAACTCCTGAGAGCAGAGGGGCGAGTTCGGCCAACGCATATCGAACAGAAGACTTGAGGAAAGGCAACAGAATTGAGTCCCAGGCTGTGATGGACAGAGGCTGCTGAGCAACGAAGATTGCTCCCATCACGATTGGGTAATCGTGTGCGAAATCTTCATCCTCCCAAGCACACTTCTTCAAAATGCTTGTATACAAGTCTTCCATCATCTTCTCAGCAGGGACCTCTCATCGTTTGGCACCAGTGTCGAGCAGACTTTTTAGTGTCCTCATAGGATTCTGGTTGGTCGTCTTCATGTAGCGAAAGATGGTACTGATCCAGATAAACAACCCATTTGCTCGTTCCGAGATCTCCTGTACCATTTTATCCTCATCCTGGAGATTGCGCTGTAAATCCCGATGTAACATCTTTAGCTTTTGCAGCTGGAAGCGTATGAATCTAGCACAATCCTGCGCATTTGCTTCATCCGAGAGATCAATAGTGAGACGATCAATAGGGTAATTGGGGGAAAGGTAGCGATTCACGAGATCAAATTGTCTCGATGTGATGAAGAATTTTATGGAAGATGGTAGCCTGGGCACTTCCTCCCCAAGAATTTCGGCAAGAGACTCGAACGCCTCTTTGTCACATTCATCTAAAGCATCAATGATGATCACCATAGGACGATTGGAAGGTGGAGGTTTGTGGAGGAGAGACGGGGCGACCAATTTCTTGAACTGCGTCGTGAATGAAGCTGTTGCAAGACTAGGGTCGTTTTGAAGAGCAGAGGTAATGAAAGTGCGGTAAACGGGGTCATGGTCTGCCAAAGCTCGAGCCATGCCGCTGAACAGAAAATCAGGCCGCGACCGTTCGCCCGCTTTAAAGAAGAACTGCAGTAACAGGGTAACATCCCCTTCGCTAGCACATCGCTCTGCTATCGTGAGTGCAATCGAAGTCTTGCCAGCGCCGGCCACGGCAGTCAACAGCATTAGCCGGTTCTCGCTATCCCCAGTGTTGCGGCACCATGTCATGATACGCTCAATGAGATCAACCCTAGTGTCTTTCAGGCACACCTGAGGGGAATCATCATGGGCAAGATGAAGGTATCGGAGATTATCGAGAATCTTGTCATCATGTAGGCCGCGTTCTATGGCCGCTAATTTGGAGCCAGTTATCAAGTTCGTGCTAAGCTGCATCGGCCAAAAATTAGAATGTTATGGAACGATACTGTAAGGAAAGCTACCTGAAACGATGCCAATGCTTTGTCAAGATCTTTCTTCAGGCCATCAATTCTTCCCGGGTCTCTCCAGTAGAAGAATGTTTTTCTGATAGCCGATCGTTTTTCTACTTTTTCCCGTCCTTCAATTTCGGACTTAATCTTCTGTAGCGCGCTAGGACTTGATGTGAGTACGATATCGAAGACCACCAAAACGGATACAGACTTACCCATCAAGCTTTGTGGCACTTTCCACCCATGGCTTTGCCTCTTCCGCTGACACATCATCGGACTTTATGGCTGAAGATACCTTGGCCATGGCGCTCGCTACGTATTCACCGAAATCAGTCCATTCCTTTGCGTTCTCCTTGAACTTCTACGTGGCGCAAACCAGCGTGAGCTTTCATTCGTGGACAAGCATAAATCATTACCAACTTTAACGTCGTCGAAGATGAAAAGTGCAGCACCAGTCGCACGCTTTAGGGGTGGACACCAATCAGCCGTGGCATTGACGCCTCTAAGAGTTAACACCGCCAGGTTACCCCCCGCTGCGAGGAGATCATCGGTCTTTTGCCTCAGAGTTTCAGCCTCTTGCTGCAGCGACATGGTCGATAACAGACAAGTAGATGGAGGACAGAGCTTTGGGCACGCAGCACACGTGTGAGCCCCTAAACTAGAGCCACGAGGCCTCCGTCTGATTATGGAAGATTGAGGATGAATATGATATGTGCATTGACTATTCGGTCGACATCATGCAGCCCGGGACCTCTGATCCAGTAGGAATAAGAACTAGATATGAACAGGGCGTTCACTCCGTACAGAGAGCGGGCGGTAAGCGCCGGTGGGGGAAGCGTATGCGACGTATGTCAATGGAGGCTGGGATCCAGTCTAGCCTTTCATCAGGGTCTTGGAGTGCTTTCATATGAGCTTTACTAATAGGATGCCGGTAAGTCGCCGGGCGCCGGCTTTGCGTTTGTTAACGCCTTGGACAATAAAGAAACTTATCGTTAGAAATTATGGTTCAGTCTCTCGCAAGTCCGCGGTCATGCTCTTTCGCCAAATTCTGGCGTCTTTCAAACCACAGTGCAGCAAGTAGCATTCGTTTTCACTGGCCATCTAGGACTACATGATCACCTGGCCCGAAATTTATCTTATTTAACACTGTCCCCCTAATTCCCATGTCAATTACTATCTTCCAGGTCCAATCCTTACGGTGCCCGTCGACATCTAGGCTTGACTCCAGCCGACACACAACCATACGATCGTGTTCACTCTGGCTGAAACACATCCCTGTTAATTCACCAAGCGTGAGTGTGCACAGAGAACCTGCCCCTTACACATGCATCTCTCATGTGGCACTCCTGTTTAAGCATGGGTCTTGTACTCAAAACGCCTGGAAATCGAGCCTAAAATCTAACCGGTCACAGAAATTGCCGAAATGTGTCTCGGGACAAGTGGGCGCGCGTTGAAGGAACATCTCTTTCATTTCTATCGGTGTACTGAATGTCGAAAGATCTCACAGCGGTTGAGCCGGGGCTCGTTAATGCGACGCTGGTTCTTACTGAGGTGCACACAAATCTCGCTTCAGTCCAAGGAGCTCAACCAATGATGATGTGATCTATCCCTCTTCCTCCGCCCTCGCGCCTCTTCCCACTGCCATCCTCACTATGCCGTTTTCCGTAACGGTCTTGTTCTATTCTCTTTCTTACCCTCCCTTCGCCCTATCACAATTTTTGTCAAGTGCCCTACGTTGGAAACAGAGGCTCATTCGTTTCTTCCTCCTTTTCTGTGAGAGAACTAGCGTAGGATTAGCGCTCAGTTCACGAGAGTAGAACTAAGATGATATTGGTATACCTAGCGTAGGATTAGCGCTAAGTAGAATACACACGAGTTCTCAGTAAAAGGAGTAGTCGCGTAATGAAGAGTGGGTCTCACCTCAGTTCACGAAAGTAGAACTGAGGAGAGCAAGAAAAAGTCGCGTCCAGTGGCTTTTAAGCCTACAACGACGTCGATCTACAAGAAAGACAAGAAAGGAATAATGGAAGATCTTTGGCGGCTGCAGGTCCGTGCGCCCAAAGTATGGGACGTCGATATTCCTAACTTCTAACATTTTCTTCCACGAAACTTGGGAACGGGTCCTTAAAAACTCCCAAAACGTTAATCTCTCAAGACAGCATTTCGAATTCGTCTGTGCGTTGGGTCGCATGTGTCTGGGCAGTGTGTTTTGGTTTAGGTGGAAACGGACCTGCGTGGCTTTGCACTACGCGTCAAACTATCTCCGGACTCTTCTGCCTTCCGCCATCCACTCGTAACCAACCTCCATGCTTCGACCCTCCTTCCCTTCATCCTATCGTACCCGATGCCCTCATGCTTCTTCGGCAAACCCGCACAAGAATAGGCGCCCAATGTCAGCCAAATTCCCAACTCTCCCTTGCGAAACTTCACAAGCCCATTGCTGTCCGCTTCGCATCGCTCTTTGGGGTGAATGATATAGGAGTATCGTCTGGGACCCTTGTTTTTGACCTTGGAATCGTGAAAACGTTTCTGCTGACCATCTCATCCCGCATCTATGATTACTCCATACTGGAGGCTTCGATTCGTGAGGTCCATTCAGACTATCAGCCAATACTTTCGATTTACATCAGACAGAGACGACGCTCTTTGGATAGAACGTCCATATAGCCCGTTGTTGTTCGGGATAGGAAAATAATTTTCTGGATAAGCGGTAGAAGGTGATTACACTCTAAAGGAGTGGGTGATACCGTCGACATCCGTGGCCTTGGTTCCCACTTTGAGTTTCGTGAAAATGGATGATGGCAATTCCATCCTGCGTAGACTTCTGGTGGAGCCGGCGTCTCGTCCTTCTTCTTTCAGCTGCATTTTTTTTGCAAGGCGGTTCGGGTAAAGAGATGGCGACACTACGCATTGCTCTGCGTCATTCTTCGCCTAATCCTGAAGAACTTCCACTGTCCATGATTCTCTCGACGATTCACTTGCGCTTTGAGACAGATCGCTATATCGAGTACAAGAATACGGAGGAAATGAATTGATTCCCTTACCAAGCTCAGCCCCTAGATAAAATGTCAGGCTCCGCCATTCATATTCGCACTCCAGAGTCAAGAAGTCCTATTAGTAAGGATCCTAGACATCAATAGATGCATATGGACATCGCGTGCCGGTAGCGTTGGTAGTCAGATCGATCCACTAACCGGGCGAGCGACGTGAGGAATTCATAGATGAAAGAAAGAGCCTATTGAGGTAACTTGCACTGATAGAGCCGAAAGACTGGACGATTACCGAGAGTGAATGATGGCGGGTACGTCGGCGAGTGACATCGGCCAACCTTGGTCCCAGGTCGAGTGGAAATATGGACTTACCGTACAAATCTGATGGTCCAGAACTAGGGGGTTCAATGCGCAGAGATGACGCCTCTGTAATGGTCATCTCTAGAAATCCTACGGATGAAACTTGACAGAGTCATTACTTGGGCAGCTTTGCGCGTGATGGGTAGATGGCTATCCAGCTGGCTGCAGGTGACCAGTCAGAAGCAGTCTTGAGATAAAACCTAATGTATAAAACAAACTGAACAGCGTTGAGTTGAGTGGGATTATGAGCCCGGGGGAGAACAGCTAGAATGACCGAGTACGTCGCCAAATACTGATATGAATAAAAAAGGGGGAATGGCTTAGGTCACAACGCACTCATCCCAAATGCGTGCTTGAAGGGCTTTCCACGTTCGGAAATGTCGCATGAGGCCCTCTTTCATCTCAACCATTTCCCCCTACCTTTCCGCTCCCACTGTCTGACGAGCCAGAAATCCACGGAATGAAGTGGTGGGAACGAATCATCCCAGCGTCATCGTCATTGAGGAGAAAGGGGTATGGAAATAGTCCCCCCCCCTATTTGGCTCGCTCAGATGGTGAATTACCCTGACCGAAATGCTGATTCTCCTGGATGGAGGGACAGTGCTCGCATTGGTTAATATGCGAGGAAGGATGCTTTGGACAGAGGCAGGCGTCACTTCGCTTCCTGGGTCAACCTATGCACCCAAAGGAGCAGAGGGACGACAACGTCGGGACTTGTCATACAGAAACCATACTGAATAAAAGGTGATACGGTCCGGCTGCCAAACTTGGCTGCGTACATAGTGTGAAGGCGGACAACGAATTGGAATGACACCAAAACAAGGAGGATTCCACATGAAGGAGAACACGCTCCCACGCAACAGGAATGATCTCAATGATCAATGTCGCTGTCCGTTGAGCTGCTTGGTGCAACAGTGGTGTTTCTCAAAACTGAGGAACGGCGTCTGCTTTGCACCGTGTGGTAATGCTGTATCCGCGGGAATCCAATGTGATTCACAAGCTGGGATAGGAAATAGCAGATGGCCCTCTAGACTTGGTAACGACGCTGTCGAATACTCCACCAATCCCTAGGGACTCCACGAGTGTCACGCGCGCAGGTAGACAGTACCAGAATAATCCAGACCATCCAGTGGCTGGGAAAGCTGGCGCATCAGGTGTTAGGTCATTCGTGTTGCCGAAAGTGTCTGGGAGTGCAAGTGCCATCAGGCAAGGCAGCAGAAGGATTGTCTGAGCTCGTTGTAGAAGTGGGATTTTGAGGATTGCGCTTTTGAATATGAACAACAAGAGCACGGCAGGATATCTAGGTTGTCCTTGATCAGACCGCCAAGAGACACTGGCACCATCGAGTATCGGCGGTTTCGTGCTGAGCAATATTATATTAACGGGGCAAGCGGTGTTGATTTATCGCATTCTACCTCTGCTAACATAAGTGCTACGTGCATCAGCGCGCTTCTTCATTCAATCCTAGAGTGTTACTTAATTCATGTCGATCGATTCACGAAGATGGACAAAGTAATTGATATTAACTTCCTAATTATGATCCGGGTGGCGCACAATCGCGGAGCCAGTCCATTCTAGGGTTAGGACCAACCTTATTCACTATCCTGCTTACCGAACAAACGTTTTCGGCCGGAGAGGACAGTCAGTTGTAGCGGGAAAGGTCTTCAAGGTAGGGATAATCGCCTGGAAGTGCACATGTCTCTGGATTTCGTCGTTCACCTTGGACACCCAGTGGGCGAAGCCTCGTTAGGTGGATTATTTGTATAACTTTCGTTGGCCCCTAATAGGCCAAACCCGGCCTGTATATACAGTTGTATATCCACTTGTATATACAAGCGTGCGAATTAACTTCAGCGGCCGCTGCCCCTACTTACAGTTCGTGCGGAGTGGTACTGCGATATTGAACGGAAATGAGATTGCGCAAACAGAGTAGCATTGCGATGAAGACTTGTGAGAGTATGTATAAATGATATCAAGAGACAACCATTAGCATGATATGGAGTATGAGTGCAATCGTATATACAAATGAAGCAATGACATTAAGATAACGAGATAAACATTAGCATGAGGGGAAAGCTTGCAAAAATATTGTACAAATGGAATGATTATAAGAAGCTTATGTGTTCATATGATTAAAGTTGAAGAAAGTCTGCGATTGTCGTGGATCAGCTGTCAGGACACTGGGAGACATTACCTGGCACCTCCATACCCATCATAGGTTATACATGAATGTTTGCACAACTTTCCCCAGTTCGCCGCACTTTGGGATTTGTATATCCTTGGATACACAGCCTTGTTTTGGCCTATTAGGCCTATTTTATTCAGCCAAATACCCCACCTCTTAAGGTCTCCAAGAGAGGGTTGACCAGCCTGCATCGTTTGATGAATGACATCCAGTAGTAGCACTAGTCATGTAGTTACATACCAGGATACATGACCATCCAACACCTACATTTTATGACCATGAGATGTAGCAGATCAACACAGGACACACCCAAACTAGTAGGGAAGGCATGGCGGAACAGGCTGGTCAACCCTCTCTTAGAGACCTTAAGAGGTGGGGTATTTGGCTGAATAAAATAGGCCTAATAGGCCAAAACAAGGCTGTGTATCCAAGGATATACAAATCCCAAAGTGCGGTGAACTGGGGAAAGTTGTGCAAACATTCATGTATATTGTCATATCCATCCCCGGCCATCGACTTCCGGTCCCTCCGATCCCTCCGGTCTAACCCCGCTCCTTCCTCACTAACCTCGGAGCTCCTGTATTCCGCAATCCTCTCGGTACCCCTCGATGGTCACCACCCCCTCCTTTCAATTTATTACCTACACCTCCCTAAGTATGGAGCCCTGAAGACTTCTGGACAGCTCCGACGTCCGCTAGCACACTCCCATCTCCGCTGGGCAATACACTCGCCTGCCCTGCAGACCCCACCTTCGGGCCTATCCCTCCTTTCTGTCAGAGACCAGACTTGAGATGAGGGAATGTCTCCATAATGGAGGGCTTCGGCCTCAGCGACTTCTACCAAGAGCGCTGTGCCTAGTGACACGTCCGTGCCCTAACTTACTGACTGGCACTTAGAACCTAGGGGGGGTAACTCTTGTTGATTTTTCTACTAGGGCGTAACCTATGTACAAGTGGGATATATATATGGTTACAGCGGGGACGGTTCCGCAATTGGCGGAGCTGATGGAGTGGAGCTAATGGGGTTTAACCATTAGCCGACTGAATATTACCGACGAGTCGGTTCGCGGGGTTAGCAGAAAGGCAGGCGTTAACCCAGAAACGGAAAGGAGGGATAGGCCCGAAGGTGGGCTCTGCAGGGCAGGCGAGTGTATTGCCCAGCGGAGGCGGGGGTGCACTAGCGGACGTCGGAGCTGTCTGGAAGTCTTCGGGGCTCCATACTTAGGGAGGCGTAGGTAATAAATTGAAATGAGGGGGTGGTGACCATCGAGGGGTACCGAGAGGTTTGCGGAATACAGGGGCTCCGAGGTTGGTGAGAGAGGAGCGGAGTAGAACGGAGGGAACGGAGGGACCGGAAGTCGATGGCCGGGGATGGATATGACACTTTCCGTTTCTGGGTTATCACCTGCCTTTCCGCTAACCCCGCGACCCGACTCATCGGTAATATTCAGTCGGCTAATGTATAACCCCGTTAGCTCCACTCCGTTTGGCTCCGCCAATTGTGGACCCGTCTTCGCTGTAACCATATATATATCCCACTTGTACATAGGTTACACTCCAGTAATAAAATCAACTAGAGTTACCCCCCTTCGGTTCTGATTGCCAGTCAGTAAGTTAGGGCACGTGTTAGAACGGGCGGAAACGGACGACTCCGGAGTGGAATCGGAGACTTAGCGTGGAGGGACCTTGGCCTCAGCGACTCAAGCGGAGCGCTGTGCCATTGCTGTTTGTCCATTTGGTCCTTAATTTCACAGTAGGTGAGCAGGAAGTCTCTAGGGGGCATTTCAGGTCGATTTCGGACTGAAACCAAGACGAGTATGTACAAGCGCTGATATATATAATGGAAGGGGCAAAAGCACAAGGAGAACAAAGGGTAACCGAATCGGGACGAAGACGTCCGAACGGGAACAAAGGGTAGATGGAGCGGATAGGTACCGAAGGTCATAAGGCAGGACCGGTGATACATCCGAAAGGAGGTAGGGAGGGCGAGGCCCAGAGGGGCAGGAGGATGAGGGGAAGTGGGGATGATGACTAACTGGCTAGAATAGAAAGAAGCAGTAGTCCAAATAGGGATGAAGGGAAAACGCGAGAAATACATTACAGGCAGCGAGAGTGCCGAAGGCGGTCCGCGAAGCTCAGGGGTTGCGGAGCTTATGGAGCTTACGGAGGCGGGGTTGGAAGTCCGAGGAATATTGGCAATGGTGTTTACGTAGTATGAGGTCACCAATGCAATGGACTAAGACCGAGGTGGAGTCAAAGTCCGAGGTAGGGACTATGATGGAGGCTCGGAGTAAGGTACGAGCGGTGTCCGAGTGCGAAGTACGGAACAGCGGTGGATGGTCGTAACTTGGCGGAAGGGTGGCGGAGGAGTAACAGAGGGAGAAGAGAGGGGAATGGTAAGGAAGAGGGAGTGGCGAAAAGGAGAGTAGTCAGGTCCGAGGGTGAGTATCGGAGCGGATGGGGGAAGCGTAGGGGGATGACGGGAGGGTGAAGGTGTTGTGAAGGGGGAGCGGAGTAGTAGGAGGGTGGCGAGTGGGGTGATGTTCGGTCCGAGATGAGTATCGGAACGGATGGAGATAGGGTCAGAGAGGTAAGGGGGAGGTGTGTTGCCAAGACCGAAGATGGGTATCGGAACGGCAGCGGTAGGTTATGACTCCGGAGGTGAAGAGGGTGGAGGTCCGGAAGTCGGGTTGGGGTCGGGTATGCATGGATATGACAGCACGGATGTGTCACTAGGCACAGCGCTCTTGGCAGAAGTCGCTGAGGCCAAAGCCCTCCGCTACGGAGACTCTCCCTCGTCTCGAATCTGGTCTCTGACATATATCCACCATGTATATACAGGTGGCACCTGAATACATTTGCTGCGGCTGCCGATGTCATGTGGTCTGTTGCCACATGTTACTGCGGAGTTGTCCGAATTTATTGTTATATTGTTATATCAATCTCTCTCCTCTTGGTCGATGTTGGGTCCCCTGCTTTGCAGGTTGCTTAACGTGGCTTGGGCCACTGTGGGCTGAAGGTGAGACCCTCTCTTTTCATATTTCATATGTGCTTCCATTTGACCATCACACCTCTTGCACTTTTAATGTCCTTCACCTCTCCTTATCGCAAGGCAGAGGCGAGAGTATTGCCATTGTTTGTCATGATTCTCCCTGACAAATACTGTATCCTGAGTATCATAGTGCTGCAAATTTGCTGCATTGCACCCTTTCCTGTTGATGACGTGGACTTTATGCTTCTGTCAGGGCATGGGAATACGTTACCGTGACTCGCCGTCGGCGACCATTAAGGTCCGCTGCTTCGGCGTAACAGCCCATCAAGGGTGGGGATGACAATCATGGTGGAAAGGGGTTTCGGCTTCAACGACTCGTTCATGAGCGTTGCGCCTCGTACTTGACATGGCCCCAATATTTCAGGAGACAGGAGGTGCAACTGGGTCAGACAGAGAGTGCGGGGGGGTAACCCTAGTTGATTTTCGAACTGCAGTACGAGGTAGTGTACAACCGGTATTTAAGTATAACGGAATGAATGGAATTAAGTCGCCAGATCTCACGGAGATTGCGGGCGGGGTTAAGAAGAAACGAAAACAAACAAAGAGTGTGGGAGAAGGATAGCTGTCTACGGCCGTCAAGAAAAACAAGCGTGATAAAGAAAGACTCGTAGGCCCGTGACGGGCCGTGGAAACAGGTAGTGGTGATGGGGAAGGGTGACGGGCTTGTTCAGGCGGCGTCGGGCGGGTAGCGGGGTTGACGGGGTCGAAGTGGGGGAGGGAGAAGGTGTGGGGAGTGATCACCTGACCGTGGGAATTGCCGGGTCGTGACAGCTTCTGACACACAAGCTCCTCTGTCTCCTTCAGTCACCCATATCATCCTGTTGCTTCCGCTTCCTGTCACGTCGCCATTCTATGCTTAGTGTGAGCTTCAAGTCTATATGGCTGGGATACTGGCAGTCCATCCCCCTGGAATGTCTCAAACATGCCCTCCACGACACCTGTCTCTCCTGGGCTGCATGTTGGAAGTTACAGCCCGACGCCACTGGCGGTCCTAGGACCGTACATTCACACTTTGAGAGCTTTGGGAAGGAGGCGCTTTTAGGGCAATCGACGGTGAACATAATGTCGCTTTGGCCCTTTGTTTTCATGCTTTGGCTACCGCTCATGTTTCACTTCAGTGGCGTAGAACTGACATTAAATGTATATAAAGATAGGACTTGCACTGAGAGCCGATACATCACAATAGATGTATCACACTTCTCAGGTAAGTCCATCCATCACTACGTACATACATCACAATAGACGTATCACGCTTCTCAGACGTATCACGCTTCTCAGATGTATCGCACTTCTCAGTTTAACACCGCATCCCCTCAATGTTAAGTACTCTCCCATTAGGTTAAGTCCGGTGGCCAACCAATTTCTCGATATCATGAAGGATTTCAAAGTCGATCCTCACACTTGGCTGTACACTATTGAATTCCCATGACCAACGCTCTCATCGTAACAGGATGCCGCTTCTGCAAAGCAACCCGTCAAACTTGCCGGTGTCATTAAATTTTTGGGTTGAACTGGCTCTCATGGAGGTGTGACCCAGGTCTGCAGATTTCTGCAGCTCATCTGCAGGGCCTAACGTCACCCACAGGTTCGTGTTGAGTTTTTTAAATATAAGGCTATGGCACGTAAGTGTCTCAGACTTGTGTTAGAGATCTATAAATTGTATGTACCTATGGCGCGTAAGTGTCTGCGCCAACAGTTAGACAATTCTTGTAAAGAATAATAAAATCTATCTCACGTCAGACTCGTGTTAGAGATCTGAGGGAGAGGGAGTCCAAAAAACTCCCTTCTTATACGCGAACTACACCAGTGGCGAGCCCGTCACATAAAGAAGAAAAATGGGGTGCAAAAGACGTGCCCCAAAACTTCACTTCCACCACCAACAATCAACACCGTCCTCGCCACTCCGTCGTCGGAACCGATTGTTGATATTCCAACAGAGTTGATGGACAAGATGCAACGCTCTATCATTCAAAACATCAAGGTACCAGTTTGTGAGTCGGATGTCCTTGCCCTCTTGGAGTCTGAGCATGAATTCAGCTCAGTGTGTCCAGTGACTTGCTAGACAGTAACAATATCCGCTGATGATAATTTTCGGCATTGATTTTCTTTTTCAACCCTGTGCATCTATTGAGATTTGCATATTGGAGAGTTTGACCTATGTTCCGCTATCAATTCCACATGGGAATGAAGTGCCTTCACATTGATTCCACACTTGTTGTTGTGTATTGAAGCCGAAGGTAAGCGGGGAAAGTACCATTTGCAGACATACTGTGATTTAGAGTGTGCACATCATTGTATAAACCTATTGTAAAGAGGCTTCTCAAGTCATCAGGTGCATAGCAGCAACCCACTAGGATGTCGCACACACCTGAAACACAACATAGTTACATCTTTTTTTAAGCTTTGCAACCGCCACAATCCCCTCCGTAATGGGAGGGATGCTACACACGCACTCCCCTCCTATAACCCTCCCCATTATCATCCGAGTCATCAAACAACCTCCCTTTCCGTTCTTTATTCCATTGTATTTTCCATCTTTCCCTTGTTAACATGCACACAAGAACTCACCGGGGGTTGTGGGAAGGGGTTGACTGTCTATTCATACAGTGAACAGAAAATGAAACGATGAATAAAAAAAAAAAGGGTAGAAAGAAACAGAAAGAAACAGAAAAAGGGAAAAGAGACAAGGAGGGACCCGAGTTGGGCCCATGCTTAAGTATAACCATCCCCAGGTCTGTGTGCAAGAACTGATGTGGGAAGTTGCCAATACTTATGGGGAGATCCAAAGGCATAGTTGGACTATATATATATATATATATATGCGGAGTTGTCCAAAATATATTGTTATATTGAATGCCAAGCCCTGGATGTATATATAAAACATTCTAATCTAGAGACACGCCACCTGCCTCAGCTGCCTCTATTAACTGTGCAAGCATTTCATCTTCTTCCTCTGAACCATTCAATTCAAACATATCACTCTCATCGCTGTTGGACCTGACAGAACCATCGTCAGGCACCCTGTGGACTGGGGGTGAATGGTTTGGGTTATGATGTTTAGCAAGAGCCTGAACTTCGGGCAGACTATGGAATGTGTGAAGAGAGGGTGGAGGGTCATTGGGAGCCCAATCTTTTGTACCAGCGGAGATCTCGAAAGTTTTGGTACTTCCTTCCCAGCGATTTTGTAGCTTGTGAAGCCTGTGAATCCACATGAGGGAAAAAAAGGCAACGTCAACATCACTTCCAAGGGCAGCAAAGTATAGGTGAACAGCTTGGTAACTCTCCTCCCATATCCATTGACAGAGATTGGCATGTTCAGCCTCACATCTGGCAATCTCAGATTGGCAGCTGACAACCATCTGTGCCAAAGGGATACCTTCCTTTACACATGGATCAGCGAGCCATGCCGGTAGCTCTTCGAACTGTGAAGGATCACAATCTTGCCATATATCTTGATCTACATCCAACTTATAGAGACCCTCCTTTCTGAGTGGTGAGGGAAGCCATGCATCTTCGGCAACCCCATTTCTCCCTCTCATCTCAGCCAATTGTAAGATCTTATCATTATACTTCTTCAGAGTGGCATCAACTCCAGCTGAATGACGAGAGACTGCTTTGTCCACATGATCTCGTAAACTCTGGTCAGCGACTCGTCCTCCATGAGATTGATCAAGTCGTTGCAGCTCCTGTTTTCTTGCATGTAATTTGTGGAGTAACTGATCGTGCAGCACACGAAGGTTCAAGAAGCCATTTGCCCATACATCCTTCTCTGCCTTCTTGAGTTCCTCATGTGTATCATCCTTAGCCTGCAACTCCTTCATGGCCTTCTCTACAGAACTCCTCAGCCTCACAACGCTGCTGTCAAGGACATCAATGTGTTCCTGCCAATCTGCCAGGAGGAGTTCCACCACTGAATCAGAGCCGGTAGGCATATTGCACCTCAAGTCTTCTAGAAGTGACCTAGAACTCTCAATGGTTGCCTTCCAGCCCATGATGGCCTTGATCTTGGTGTGGATGGGAGTCTTGGTTTGCCGAGCTTGAGGCTTCGAGTGATACTGATGCTGTGCCTTGAAATGTTCCAGCATGTCATCCACATTCTGCTCCTTGAGGGCCTGTTGAGCCGACTCGAGACATTTCTTGGCATTTGTGATGTGATGGTGCAACCAATTCCCCAAATCCAGGCACTTTGTATCAGTGATATGGCTCATCTGCATGTCAAGCACAAAGAGACGATGGTGGTACCCCACAACCTGAAGACTTGGTATGAGCTGTCGCAGTTCACTCCAAAAACGCTCACACACTTCACCATCCGAAAGACCCCAGACATGATCCTTCCGAGGGTGATACCATAGCTGACAAGCCCATTGATGTCCATAGGTGTGAAAGATAGAGATGCCCCACACCAGACATGACCACCACTCAGGTGCAATGTTCCACTTGTGAAGTGCACGATCAGTCTGGCAACCAATGTCATACAGGCACCCAATGGTCCACGACGAAGGGAGATGCTCTATAAGTATGCCGTGACGACAGACAGCAGACATAATGCCCGTTTCATTGTAACGGGTCTATCGCCTAGACTTGAGACAGAGAGAAGGGGGAGGGTGGTAGTGTGCGTGGGTGTGGTTTGTGGGGCCGGGTTTTGGTCCGTGGGTGCTACTGAGTCTGCAAAAACCTCAAACAAACACTCACCTACGTCTCTCTTGGACGTCAAGGCTGAGTATTATGATGTGAGGGGTCTTATACTTGAGCAACTAGCTCAGAGGGGGCGTTAGGGTCGTGGATGGTGTCTTTGCCACTTGGATGTAACTTCTGCTTGTCCCTTCATGGGTCTATTCAATACTAACTTGTTATGTACAAGCTGTTATCTAGTTTATATATGTTTGAAATGGAATGAATGGCATGGGGGAATGTAAACGGGCCGTTAGGCAACCGTAAATGATGAATATCCAATTGGGAACAAAGAAACAATAAAAGAAATATGAATGAATGGGGAAAATGTGACAACGGGTCCGAAATGGGAATTGTGAAAATTAACTCCGCAACAGTTCGCCACAGCGCCCGCCTATCCTCCCGTCAGCAATCTCCTCGTCTCCAGCTTTCCAACGAGCCCTTATTCGTCCCAATTGGTGCAGTGGTTCTTGAGATGTGGCCATTGACAGTGTCAGAGACCAGGTTGAGATGAAGGAAAGTCTCCGTGGTGGAGGGCTTCGGCCTCAGCGACTTATGCCAGGAGTGCTGTGCCAAGTAACATGTCTGTGCCCTAACTTACTAACTGGCAACCAGAACTGAAGGGGGGTAAACTCTAGTCGATTTTATTACTGAAGTGTAACCTATGTACAAGTTGGATATATATATAGTTACAGTGAAGATGGGTCTGCAAATGGCAGAGCCAAGTGGAGCGGAACTAATGGGGTTAAACATTAGCCAACTGAATATTACTGACGAGTCAGGTTACGGGGTTAACGGAAAGGCAGGTGATAACCCAGAAATGGAAAGGAGGGATAGGCCTGAAGGTGGGCTCTGCAGGCAGGTGAGTGTATTGCCCAGTGGAGGCGGGAGTGCGCTAGCGGACGTCGGAGCTGTCTGGAAGTCTTCAGGGCTCCATACTTAGGGAGGCATAGGTAATAAATTGAAAGGAGGGGGTGGTGACCATCGAGGGGTACCGAGGGGATTGCGGAATATGGGAGCTCCAAGGTTAGTGGAGAAGGAGCGGAGGTAGACTGGAGGGATCGGAGGGACCGGAAGTCATTGGCCGGGGATGGATATGACAGACAGGTGCTGTCAAGACCTCATGAGACTATACTCCATGCTAAACCATCCGGGTATGGGATTGCCATTCTGGGAAGTGCTCCGGGGGTAAAGGAGGAAGGTATAGCATCACCAACGGGTAGAAAAATGGCTGGGTTGTATGTGTGGTTATGGAGATCTGGAGAGGGGGTGAAATTAGCAGCGTGGTTGGGCATGGGAATTTGGCTTGGGGCTGTTGGGAATGATGGGGAAAATATGGAGTGAGTGTATGGAGTGTTGGATAGTGATGGAATGAGTATCGGGAGCGTCAGCAGATATGTACTGCGTGTTGGTGACCAAATTCCGCAGAATCTGACTTTTTGCGGTACATGGAGTTGTCCCCACAACATCGTCGAAGTACTTCTTGGATGCCTTCTGGCACTCCCCGTTGGCAGCTGTGAACGAGCCTTCACAGCCATCATACATGCTCTCTGTCAGGTTGAGCCCTGGGGTGACATGGTTTTGCTTGGAAAGATCATCCTTGCCGCTACCCATGTTTCCTTTGCCTTTCAAAGCCTGAAAATTCCGTTTGGGTTCACATATTTCAGCAACCCTGCTCTGCCACATCTCAGCATAACCGTGGGGAACCTCAATTGTTTGAGGTGACATCATTTTGGGATCCTGAGAACCAATCTTGTTCAATCTGCGGTACTGGGGCCTCCTATCATAGTCTTTGATCCTCTTCAGCTGAAAATTTGCATCAAATGAAACAATGCAATCTGCTGACAACTTGGACGTGGGACTAGATGCAGACTCCTTCCCAGTCGCTCACATGATTTCTCCGAGGTTTAGCCGCAACTTACGTTGCCTCCGAAATCTGTCGAGCGACTGGTACAACTTGCAACACGTGATGTTCCCACGCTAAGTTGTAATGAGTTGTACATAGGTTACGGAATATAATTTTTAGTATTTACGCATGCGGTCATTGTACCCAACCCAACCCATGGAGACTAAGGGAGCACATCCAAGGGTGTGAAGTGTCAGGGACAGCTCCGAAAGCGGCGAGGTCCCGGCGCGAGGGACTCGATGGGACAAGTGTCGGCTATGCGTAGCGGCGGTCCCGTCACGGGGTGAGCGTCCCCGACCACTTAGGCTGAAGTGGGAAGTTGGTTATCATTAAAAGGGGGGAAGCTACAGTACTTACCTGAAGTGGGAAGTTGAGAAGAAGGCTGCTTCTTCTGTTCCCACCCCAGGTGCTATTATATACATGCGGTCAGGGTCACGTGGGAGGAGCCACGTCATCCCTGCACACAGCCGCACTCCCCTGGGTATCTCCGTGGGAGATCCCAGAGGTGTGCCGCTCTGTGAGTGGGAATGCGTGCGGCGGGCGCGGTGATTGGGGGAGCGGGGTTAGGTGTGTTAGTAATACATAGAGAAAGGGAAGTCGACCATAGAAGGGAATAGAAAGAAAGGAGGAAGGGGGAGAGAGGAGACAGAGGGTGATAGCGGGGGAGCGGAGTAGGGCGGTACGGCGCGGGGTGCAGCGTAGGGTCAGGCGGGTGTGCCCTGACATGAAGTTAATATCCGGGTGTGCGTGAAGATTAACAGTTTATATATTACTTGGTTGCCAGTCACTTGTTTGTGCCCGGTGGTATAAGTGGTATAGTGCTAGCTGGGGCTATGCAGTTTTTTTGAGTGGCACATGTTCGATTCTCACTTAGGAAAACCTTTTTCGGGCCCTCCCATGGAATAATTGTGTGAAATGGTTGTTTTCTGTACACTAAGGAGTGGAGGGTATGAAAAAAAAAAGTTTCCTAAGTGAGAATCGAACATGTGTCACTCAAAAAAACTGCATAGCCCCAGCTAGCGCTATACCACTTATGCCACCGGGCACAGACAAGTGACTGGCAACCAAGTAATATATAAACTGTTAATCTTCGCGCACACCCGGATATTAACTTCACAACCTTGGATGTGCTCCCTTAGTCTCCACGGGTTGGGTTGGGTGCAATGACCGCATGCGTAAATACTTAAAATTATATTCCGTAACCTATGTACAACTCATTACAACTTAGCGTGGGAACATCACATGTTGCAAGTTGTACCAGTCACTCGACAGATTTCGGAGGCAACGTAAGTTGCAGCTAAACCTCGGAGAAATCATGTGAGCGACTGGGAAGGAGTCTGGACTAGATGTAGAGCCGAAACAACATGGACACCTTCCCCAGAGGTAGTCACTGGGGAGGTCAGGATGTGAAAATGTAGGGGATGTATGAGCATTTCGATATTCTTGCACATCGATCGAAGTGTTCTCATCCAAATTTACATGAACGGTCAGAGCTTGAAGAACACTGGGTATGCTGGACGTTAAATCTGATGGGATCTTGGGATCTGGATGGGAAGGATCGACATCCATGTCTGATTCTGGAAGGCAATTTGAGACTGAAGGTGGCAAGGATGGTTCGCAGAGGTGGCCAGGCAGAAGACGACGTGGAATGGGGATGGCACTTGCCATGCAGTCCATCTCTGCATCGATGAGTCTGATGAGCAATTGATAGTGCACAAGGGAGTTGCTAAATCGATGACGAAATGAACTTGCAGTCTCGAAATGATGCCCTTCATGCTGAAGCATAATTTCAGCAGTTGTTGTCCACGCCCATATGTTCGGTGTCATGTGTAAGAACAGCGTAGCGGCCCAGTCAAGTATTACCATGCTCACAGCAAGTTTGGGTCGGACTGGGGCACAGGGAAACAAGCCGCACTTGACAAACTGCACAGTGAGTGTTTGCTCTTCACAATGCCTTATCTGCCGCTTCTCAAGCCGTGACATGTACATGCAGAGCATGTCATCCACTCGCTGAGGGCCAGCACAATCACAGTGCTGACGGGGTTTACTTCATTCTGATGAAGCAGAACGTTCCTGCATCCACTTCATATACGGTCATATCAGATGTGGCAGGACATCTATGTGCCACCATGTCCTCTGATGGTTGTGTCGCATGGCATGCTTAGACATGATATCAAGGGGTAATGGTGGGGGGGCTGGCTCACATGTTTCCTTGCCGGAAATGATGTGAAGAGACTCAGATATATAGTCGTCCATAGGATGAGGTGAGGTGTGGGGAGGGGAACTAGGATTTGCGGCTGAAGGACCCTGAGATGAAGTGGGGGCATCGTGTAATGGGGCCAATTTGAACTTTTGCCTCTGGAATTGCTTGTATGCTTGTATGCAGGAGATACTGCTGACTGGGGTCGTCCTTATGATACCTGATTTCTGTTCATGCTTGAGAGCATCCTGAACTCGATGCTTCGCTGACTTTTTGTAATTGGAGTACATCTGAACAATTGCTGTCGGCCAACAATGTAAAGCACCAGTCAAAATACACTCATGTTAAAGCGTAAAGAAGATTAATACACAGGTGTAGCAATATTGAGATTACTAAGCAAGCAAGTGTACAACGCTAAGCAATGGACACATGATTGCAAAGTGAGAGGCCAAAGGAACTAAGCAATCAGGCCTCGATGTCGGTGTCAGGGCAATAGCCCCGAACCCCAAGTCACATGTAAATTAGATACACATAGTCACGTGGGCAAGCGGGAACCTCCGGGTAACCGCTTACACACCACCGTAAAATACACTATCTTGTATCACTTACGGCCTTGTGTGCTGAGCCACCCTAAGACCTCACACTTTTTTAAGTGCATGAGGTGTGTTTTACAACACAACCCACAACTACACAATCTTAACATCTGACTTGGAAGCGCCTATGGTGCCTAAACACGCCCACAAGGGCAAGGTCGCATCTGCAGCGAC